GGCATCCTCTGCCTCAGCGACATCCCCGGCAGCGGCGCCACGCCAGCAGGTGAGTGAGCTCAGACAGGGACGGGGCTGTGGCGGCCGCTGGATACGGGCGGTGCGGGGCCGTGAGGGGATGCAGAGGCAGGGGAGGGCCGCGGGGGCGATACGGGAGCGGCCGCGCTGGGTGAGGAGCGGGGCCCGCGCTGTGAGAGGGCAGTGGGGGAGAACAGCGGGGATTTGGGGAGCTCTCCCTGCAGGCACAGGGAGGAGGGCTGGAGGATCTGTGGGGGCTTCCCCTCTATGTGTGTGCCCTAAGGATGGAGACTGGGAGTTGGGGTGCCCGGAGCAGGGTGTGCAGGGTGAGGGCTGCGCTCCGGTTCGCGCTCAGGGGAGTCAGAGCTCCGAGCTCCGGTCGGGTTGGACCCCGTCAAGGTGTGGTTTCCTTTGAAATGAAGCTGTACTGGGCTGTCCCCGTACCTTCAGGGTGTGGTTTCCTTTGAAATAAAGCTGTACTGGGCTGTCCCCGTACCTTCAGGGTGTGGTTTCCTTTGAAATGAAGCTGTACTGGGCTGTCCCCGTACCTTCAGGGTGTGGTTTCCTTTGAAATGAAGCTGTACTGGGCTGTGCCGGTCCATCCTTCTCGTGGTTCCAAGTGCGGGTGTGAGGGATGTGTGAGCATGGCACATGATAAAAGTAAACTTTGGACAGCTGCACAGGCAGGACAAAGTAACGCCACCTTCTGTGTATCACTCTGCTASTGGGAAAGCACAAATGAGTAAATTTTCTGATAACTTGCAAGGAAAGAGCTCTTCACATAACAATACCAAGTGAAATTCTGGAAAAGGAGTTGTTCCTGAGTGCTAATTACGTAAGTAAATTTTTTTTTTTTCCAAACGATGCTCGTGGAGAAGAGAAACCGACAGACATGAGAAGATCACTGTTGAAGCAAGGCACATGGCAAACATGACATGCTCTTTCAGGCTCGAAGCTGGATGAATCTCCCTGTCTCGGCAGGTGGAAAGTGAAACCCAGGCCTAGAGCAGTTCTGGTGGTTAATCCCCAGGCCATGCTCCCCACTCCTCAGAGACACCTGTCACTTCTGGGCTTGCTCTCTCTTTGCCTTGATGACCATCTCAGTGCCACATTTCACAGTGTAGTGTGGTCAGAGAGCCCTGGGGCAGCTCAGAATCCTGCTCCACCTGCATTGCTGGCATTTCTTGTCTGGGCAGTTTGGTTGTACTTGATGCCTTGTACTCAGATGCCATTCCTTATTCCTGCTCTTGCTGAGGACACTCTGTGCCTTGGGGCTGGGCACGACTTGGAGCAGAGAAAGATGGGATTGCAAGGAGTTTCCTTTCAGACTGGGAGAACACAAGGACCCTGATGAGACAGGCACTGAGACTGTGCCCAGTGCCTGGCAGCTGGCCTTCCTCAGCTCCTGGGGCACRGTCTGCTCCTGCAGTCCCTCCCTCTCTCTGCCTATTCCCCACCCCTGGAATCTATATTTCCTGAAATAAATCCTGTTTCACCCATCAAAAGTTTGCTTCAGASTGATAGAGGAAAAGGTTAATAAAAATGCAAAGGTCACATTTCCCATGCCTCCTAAAGTAATGTGACAGGTCCAATATCTACATTATTAACTGTGACTGTGGGCTTGTTTTGTTTTCAGGTGCTTTCAAGTTACCTGGGGCTCTTTCTCCTGTGCTGCACTAGCACATGGCTGCAGCCAGTCCCAGGAGCCTGTGGGCAGGAACTCACTGGGACCAGTTATTTATTTATTGTTTTGGCTAAAGGTGCCTCCTCACTGCAGAAATAGCTGTGTGAAATGTTCCTCTCRGCAAACATTGATTCTCACAAACTTGTTTTTGACTGGATGTGGACTTGCTGTTTTAAGTGGCCCTTTTTTTCTCCTGGTTCTGTCTCCCCTCCAGTTAGTTTTTTTTTCCCTCAGAGCCTGGTGCTGAGCACACCTGTGCTGGCCAGGAGACACTTCTGTCCAGCAAGTCCAGTCTGGGAAGAATTCCTGCTGTCTGGCAGACTGTTTGTCCAAGGAGATTGCAAATTCAAGTTTTTTGTCATTAAAGATCATCTTTCCCCTGCTGGGGAGAATGGTRTAAGCCATATTCCAGGAGGTGATAACAGCACTTTGCTTGCTGGTTTAATTATCATCTACCCTTCTTCCTCCTGTCATTACCTTGTTGGGCTCCTGTGATCATCATTTTGGTAATGGTTGTCCCATTCCAGCAGGGACTGAAGTGAAYTGAGCCCCTGAACAATTATGGGAGCACTGAGTTTACGCAAATGACAGCAACTCCACACAGCATGAGGGTCTCTGCACTTGGTTGAACCCACACTCAATAAAAACTTAATTAAATACTAACACTAGCAGAAATCTATAAATGAACAAAAAAACCCCAACTTTATTGGATTTATCTGACTTTGGATGCAGCAGTTGCTTCAGTGTGGAAGAATACCAAAKCCTGTGTGTTTTGACAGAAAAATCACTTTGCAAAGGACACTAATCATCATTCTGTTTTGAGCTGGAACAATCCTCAGGCAGAGTAGAGACAAGCAGGATTGCTCACAACAATCCCACTGTCCTGATGTGCCACTGGCACTCCAAGATAACACTGCAAAGACTGTTGTAAAATGTCACTAAAATCTGCAGGGAAGCAATTTAGCAGTAACAAAAAAAMCAGGCAAATTTTGATGGACATGGCATTTCATGAAGCGGATCACTTTGGTTTGAAGGTAAAAGCTAGTGGAACAGAGTGTGTGATCACTTGGTATTATAGAAAACYGTCAAAAATAGCATGTTTGGCAAAAGTGAAAAATTAGCTGCAGTAACTGAGCTATCAAAGACAGTGACTGATGGGGTAATTTGGGTTATTTAAGTCTGTTCTGGGAAAAGGAGGATTAGGAAAGGCATAATTAAAATATGCAAAGCCAAAGGGGAATAGAGAATAGATATTAAGTCACTTTAAATTAGTAATTCATGAGAGGGTGGAAGGGAGAGAAATGGATGAAATTATGCTCTGAAAGGGCCCTGATATTCCATTGTTGCAGAGAGAAAAGCTATTCAGGGCCTGAGTACATCTTCTATGCACACAGAAATTGGATAGGAGAAGGACTGAAAGCTGTACGTCGACTGAGGAATCCGATCCTGCAGGTTTCCTACAAACCAAGGGAATACATTTTTCCAGGGGCATCAGGAGTTTTCCAAGTCCCTGCTTTCTGTGCCCTGAGAGCAGAGAACCTGCAGAGCTAGAGGAGCTCGACCAGGAGAAGCCTCAGCAGCAGTGCTACACCTCAGTGCCAGGATTGTGAGATCTGAGAGGCAGAGTCTTTCCCCTGCAGTGTTCTCTGGTGTGCTGAAAATGAACTGCGTCAGGGTGGAGTTTACCCTTTAATCAGACAGCAGAGATTTCAGCAACAGGTGTTTGTGTTACTGAGCATTGGAAGTCCAGTTAAAGCTCCTAAAGGCAGTTTAGTCTACCAATAGAGGATAGTTTTGTTACGGAATCAAAGAATCACCAGGAAAACAAGCTAAGCCTAAATTATTCCATGGAAGTGTAGAGTAGGTTGACATCTCTGTGTGATAAAGGGACATCAGGCTTCAAAATGAGAGCAAAATTCAACATCCAGCTGGTCAAGAAGCAACCTGGAACCATTCCAGAGAGTGTGAGCCCACAACAGCTGCCACTGTGATGTCAAGGGACCCTGGGGTGTCAGTGCAAGGTTGGCAAGTCCCTGAGTGCCAACAGGACAGTGCCATTTCTGCCGTCCAGAGCTCCTCAATGCATCCCTTCTGCTCTCATTCCAGGAGGATCCTTCCCCAGGGGTTCTCAGTGGGCTGGCTGGGAACCAGCTGGGGGTTTTATCCGAMTTTTAGGTTATGCTGGTCAGCAGGCTGTAGCACAGCTTTGCAAAAATGATCCGGCAAATCGGAACTGCAGCTTGYGATCTGCTGTCTGTCACATCTGCAATGTATTTTTATCCAGATAAACCCTGGCTGCTGACAGGTCATCTAGGGAGTAAGTAGTGCTCTTCCCCAGGTGAAGATACCTGGCTTTGGGGTCACTGTGTTCTTCATGCCCTTCCTTAGGAACGGAGTTGATTTGGGAACAAAAATGCCTGTCAGATGCCATTAGTTTGGTAGAGCTCCTGTCAACAGCTTCTGCTAACATGGGGGTGTCTCAATATGGGCAGTGTTTGGAATGTGGAGAACCCTGAGGGGGTTCCATGCTCTACACAGGACAGTCTGGGGAGCCTGTAATTCCATTCTCTACACAGGACAGTCTGGGGAGCCTGTAATTCCATTCTCTACACAGGACAGTCTGGGGAGTCTGTAATTCCCTCTGTTTGCTGCTTCTGCCAACTTCCAAAATGCAGACAGAAGGGCTTCTCAGAAGTGCTTCTAAAAAGTGTGCAATTATCTTCTGAACTGAGGAAAAACATCTTTCCATAATTAGAGGGTTTGACTAACAACGTGTGCTAAAATAGCGATAACCTTCGTGATGAGGTGTAACTTCCCAACAGTATCTGCTCCTGAACCCAGGAGCTGCTCCTGGGCTGTGTCAGAACAAAACTCACAAGGCTAAGGGGAGTTTGGGGAAAGCTTTTCCAGGGAAACATTTTCAGCAAGCTAAAGAGAATCAGCATATGTAATTAATTAACAGGGAAAAAAAAAGGAAAACTGCTCTGGCTCTTGGGCAGAGCAGACTCATTGACAATTAAAGAACAATTTAAATTTTCTTGACCAAGTTTCTATTYATTTTATTTACTGGCAAAACAGCACAAAAAATAGACACAGAACTGTAGAAAATGATTAATCTGGTATTTTGTCATGTTGTGTTTCTTACTGTGTAAAAACTATTGCTCCTGGAGGGATGTTGTGAAAGAAAAATGCTCTTACTTGGGCTGACTTATTCCATGGGGGATTCCCCACAAGTTTTCTAACAGCATCTGGTTCATCTTCTTTTGTCCATTGCAGATCAAATCTGCAGATTTTACAGAGGTGGATCCAGGGAAGGCCATCCTTTGGTGAGTGGAAATGCAACCTTTGACATTCCTGGAGTTTAAGAACTGTGGAGCAAGCTGTGAGCTTTGCCCGCTTCAACAGAGTGCCAGCCTGAAAAAATGTGCATGTCTGGTTTTGCAGCAGCAACAGCAGCGGGATCCCTGGCTGTTTCCTTATTTTCTGTTCAAAGCTTTTAAACACATGAAAGTCTGGTTTTGCAGGCAGAAGATTGCTGGTTTTAGCCATGGKGGAATATCTATTCCACAGCAATTTTCAATACTGTCTAATTAGCCCATTTCAATTTAGTTTTAACAACTTAGAATCCCGTTTCTATCAAGTTTCATGATTTATCCTTAGTACAGCTGGATATATAGCTGAATATAAATAAGGTTATAATGGATAATGTAACTCAGTGGAGCCACTGAAAGGAAGTTTTAAATAACTATCCATGCTAATAAATGTTGGGTCAATCCCCGAGAGAGGAATGACATCCATGTTAATACTGACCACATTTATTAGGGTTAATGTCCATGCACTAAATAGCAAATGACTGAACAGGGCTTTGGCCTTTGTTTTCAAATGCTGAACAGCCTCGTGCTGGGTTTTGAGTACACAGCAGAGAGTGTTTATCATAAACTTAAAAACCTTTGAATATTCACGCTTCTGATTTTCAGCTGTTGTCACTTCCTTGTCTTCAATAAAACATGCTTTTCAGAGGAAGTTTGAGGTTCATCAGAGCAGAGTAAGCCTTTCCAATAGCTCTTCCCATGAGTAGGGACACCTGGGCAGGTGCTGTGATATTCCAGCAGACATGGGCAAAGGTGGGACAGTCAGGATGTCCCAGGTTACCCAGCTCTCCCTGTGTGCTGTGGGATGTCCCTCTCTGGTGTTTCTACCAGAACCAAGGGATGACATTTTAAATAGAACACCAGTGAGATGTGAAGGTGTAGAATAGTGCCTTTGATTTGCTTCAGGTCTCTAAGTGGCCTTTGTGTCAGCTTTAAAGTGGTTTTTAAACACAGCAAATTTGGGACAACATGATGGATTGTTCTGCCTCTGCAGAGCAGCAGCTGGGACTGTTTCAACTCCCCTAAATATATAGATATTTAAATTGTATTGTGATGTGTAACAGACAACTGAGGCTGCAGGACCATGGGCATGTCTAGATCAGTTTCTGATGCCTAAGCAGCTGAAAGTTGTGTGTAACTCTCAAACCACTCAATTGGCACAATGATGTCTGTCACTCATGTTACTGACTGTCCCCAGGACGCAGAACTGGCACCGGATGCAGAACTGGCACCGGACACAGAACTGGCATCAGATGCAAAACCGGCACCAGATCCAAAACGGGCACCGAATGCAAAACTGGCACCGGATGCAAAACAGGCACCAAATGCAAAACTGGCCCCAGATGCAAAACTGGCACCAGATGCAAAACTGGCACCAGATGCAAAACGGGCACCGAATGCAAAACTGGCACCAGATGCAAAACTGGCACCAAATGCAAAACTGGCCCCAGATGCAAAACAGGCACCGAATGCAAAACTGGCCCCAGATGCAAAACTGGCACCAAATGCAAAACTGGCCCCAGATGCAAAACTGGCACCAGATGCAAAACTGGCACCAGATGCAAAATGGGCACCGAATGCAAAACTGGCACCAGATGCAAAACTGGCACCAGATGCAAAACTGGCACCGAATGCAAAACTGGCACCAGATGCAAAACTGGCCCCAGATGCAAAATGGGCACCGAATGCAAAACTGGCACCGGATGCAAAACTGGCACCAGATGCAAAACGGGCACCAGGTGCAAAACTGGCACCGGATGCAAAACTGTCACCGGATGCAAAACGGGCACGAGGTGCAAAACTGGCACCGGATGCAAAACTGTCACCGGATGCAAAACGGGCACGAGGTGCAAAACTGGCAACAGATGCAAAACTGGCCCCGGATGCAAAACTGGCATTGGATGCAAAACTGGCACCAGGTGCAAAATTGGCACCAGATGCAAAGCTGGCACCAGATGCAAAACTGGCACCAGAAGGTCTGCTGGCTGCTTCCCTTCGTGGAGAGGAGGATAAGGAGGAGGAGGTGATCAAGAAACCTTCAGCTGTTGCCTCAGCAGAATCAGAAGAAACGGCAGGGGTAAGTGACATCTTTGGTTAATGTTGGTGGAATTCAGAGCTGCACGTTTCTGCTCAGACAGCAGCCACACACACAGCTGGACATGCTGGGGGCTGGAGTCCTGCCATGACACGGGGCTTCACCCCAGCCACTGGCACCTGGAAAAGCAGTTTGAACTTCCACCTTGAGGCATCAGTTTCCCTTGCAGGATACAGGAGAAACTGTCTCCTGGACGTACCTGCCCCTCTGTATGGTCTGTTTGAGAAAATCCATGGAAATTGAACATGAATCTGGCCATGAAGTTGTGTAGGACCAGCCTTTTGTTKTCATTCATTCCGTTTGTGATATGGACAGTAAAAACCAGTTTAAGAGCGCTGGATGTGGCCGACAGCACCTTCCTGAGAGTTTGCGTTTAAAATATGAGCTCAGGGGATCCCTGCAAGCTCCCTTCCTGACATGAACTAATTTCTTGTCACAGATCCACAGATGCTCCAGCTCTCTGCTGGAGGCTGAAGGTGCAGCAGCAGATGCAGACACATTTGTGCTGACGGATTCCCTCAGCAGGAGCTCTCTGAATGAACCCAGGGCCCGGCCACGGAAGACATCCATGGTCACAGAGGAGCTGCTGGAGCAACTGAGTAGGTGTGGGGTGCCTCTTGGCTGGCAGAGCAGTGTGTGCTGTGTGTGTCCCAGCTTTAGCTGTGCCACAGGGGCAGATGGAGCATGTGTTCTCTCTGGGTGTTCCTTGTGCCCCCAAGGGCACCTCCAGCTGGGTTTGGTTTCCCTGCATTTCCATCTGTGCTAAAGGCAAAAGCAGAGATTGTGTCTGGTTCAGCAGAAGGTTTTTTGACCTAGTGAATGAACTCCTGAACTCCTGTGTGCTGGTGGCMAAATCAAATACAGTATTTGGGTTCCTAAGTTCTCTTTAGTCCCCTGACAAGTCATCAGAGCAAAAATACTTCACAGCAATCTGTTAGATTGAAAACAGGCACTGTGGTTCTTCAAGGGGTACAGGCAAAGACATCATCAGAAGTCTGGTAATCCATGAGGAGGATCCTAGATCTCAAACCACCCATTATTGATTATAACATGAGATGCTGTTCTTTATAATCATGATGCCAATGATTTGGCAAACTGCTGAAAGGTTGGGAAGATCCCCTTCTCTCCTGGAAGCACTTTGCAATGTTCTTCCCAATCTGAAAACGGCACCTGTTCATAAAAACGGATTGCACAACCCAAGGTGAATTCAATCATCAGAGGTATTAAACCTTTTGCTTAATCACACAAACTCTTTATTCCCAAGAAAATAAAGGCTCTGTTGTCCCAGGTCACCTTAATGTTTGTAGACAACAAATTCTTGCAGTGGTACCTGATCTTTTCTAATTCCTGTCTATGTGAGTGGTTTTCCATGTGTCAGGGTAACTCTTCAAAGCGCTGTAGAAAATCAGAAAATCTGTGGAGCCATCTGTGCTTTGGRGCTGCCTCTGCTGTTGCTGTTGCCCATGAAAGGCTCACAGCATTTCAGAGCTGCTGGAAGGTGGTGCCTCTGTTTGAAGGGAGCATTTTTTGTTCTTTTCAGGGGGCATTGTGTCYGAGGGGGATCCCAAGAGCAGATACACTGACTTGGTTCAGGTTGGCCGAGGGTAAGTCCAGTCCCAGTGACYTCTACAAAACCAGGGGCCAGGCATTTTGCTGTTGGAATATTGAGTGTGAAGCCAGGCAAGCTCCAAACACAATCAGCCACTGGGTTTAGACACTCCCATCTCTCAGAATTTTGGTCAGATGTGTTGTCAAAGTGAGCAGGTTGTCAAACAAGGAGCAGGTCCTGAAAGATTTCCCACCCCTCAAACCTTATTGCCCAAAACCAGCACCTTACCACCCCACAGCTGTCAGATGAAACTTCTCAATAACATTTATTTCAAATATTTTGCTTAAAAAAATTTGGTGCTCTGGTTTATAACCATGTGCTTTAGCAACTGAAACCAGAGATGAAATAATAAACTCTCACTGTCAAACAAACCCCACCCTGTGYAGCCTGGACCATGCATTCCCTGGGAAAAAAATACACACACAGACACAAAAAGAAGGAAAAAAWCCCCAAGAAAACAAGGCAAAATGAAAAAATAATTAAATACCTTATTTTCCAGTTTTTGTAGACACACCCTKCCCCTGCCCTTAGGTTTTGAGGATCTGTGCACCAGCTCTTCTTGCTCAAGCTGGATCTCAGTTTTGTCTGGGACACCCAGCATGGCAGAGGGCTGCTGGGCTGCTGTGCTGTTKGAAGAATAGATGAACCCAGGTGTTTTAAAACACTCCAGGCAGCAGAGATCTCCTGGCTGGGCTTGCCTGTCACTCCCAGCACCTAAATGGCTCCTCCTTTCTTCAYTGCTGTTTTGTTTCAGGGGTTTTGGGACCGTTTACAGAGCCTTCGACTCAGTCACAGGACAGGTGGTGAGTGTCAAAATCCCCACACATCGAGCAGCTCTTCAGGGCTTTCTCCTCTGGGCTGAGCTCTGCTGGAGCTTTGGGTGGCTGGGGAAGCTCTCCAGCACAGGCACTTCCTCAGGCATAGACCAGTGTCAGCCTGCCAAACACAGACTTTGTTCCTGCTCAATACCAGAAGGAATGCAAGTGGGGCAGTGGTACCTTACAGAGGAGTTCACAATTAAGGCTTAAAGTATCTTAGAATGAGTTATTTATTTAGAAACCCTGAAAAAATAATTGCAAATCTAAGCTGTGTTAAAGGATGCTCTTTGGAGCAGCAAAATCAAAATTCAAGAAGTTAGAAAATTCTGTGATTGTATTTTTTTTTTTTTTGGTGCAACAGTTATGATCTTTTAGAATGGGATTTTATCCATGTATGCATGTGTTTGCTCGGGATTTTATCCATGTATGCATGTGTTTGTTTTGTTATGCAACCAAAATCAGCAACAGTTGCTGAAATAATGACCAAACCCCACAGATTTGTTAATGGATTCCCAGTTGTTTTGATGTATTTTCACAGCAGCAAAATCCTGCTTGAAAAACCTGKGTGAATAATAATAACAGAGGTGATAAACTGAGGCCACTGGGGAAGAATGTGGGTGTGGGGTGTTGTCAGAGATCTGTGGCTAATGGGTTAGGGGGCCCTTTTTGCAGAGTTCACAGGCAAAATGTCTCTGGCCATGTGTCCTGGAAGTGGCACCCGAGCAAGAGGAGAAATCAGCTGTTGTCCTGTCACTTCCTGAGCACAGGGTCACAGGGCACTTTGGCACAGCCCAGCCCCATCATTCCAAAAGCACAGCTCCATGTTCCCTGTGCTCTCCTGCAGCAGAACTTCCCCAGCCCAAGGTCTCTGTTTYGTTGCAGGTGGCCTTGAAGAAGATGCCTCTCCGCAAACGGAGCAGGAAGGAGCTCATTGTCAATGAGATTCAGATCATGAAGGAAAACAGACACCCCAACATTGTCAACTATATCGACAGGTGASTGGTTCTGGTGTTATTGTGGGAATGTTTGTTCACACACTGCAAGSTAAAGGTTAAAAAACCCCTTTGGGCACTGGCAGAATGTGGAGCTCTTTTTTATTTCTCTGTTTATCTCCAGTGAATGGGAGGAGATGGCATYGAGTCTCCATTAATCTTTGCTGGCATATACAGTTGGAAACCCCTTTTCAAAATCCTGGATGTGCCATGTCTTACTAAAAYAACAGCCTGTCAGTTCATTACCTCTGTGTTGGTTTGGGGTTTGGTTTCTTCAAGTTGATCATATTTTCTATGCCTTAATGATAGGTGCTGATAAACCATCATAGAATTTATCTCTCTTGGGCTGTTCCCATTATTTTCCATTGCTCTGGATGCCAAGAAGATTAATTTCTCGTTTGCAGAACCACATAGGTTGCCAGTTTTTAAACAGTTTTTCCTGTTTCTGTATTTTATGCAACGTTTTTCCAAGTGGTGGGCCAGCATCTGTCCTCAGTGGTGCACAGCCTCCTCCTGTGGGTAACTCTGGGAGCTGTGTTGCCTTGCTCCTGGACTTAATGGTGGAATTGATAAATCAGCATAATGAACCAGCTGATGGCAAGTTTCCTGGTTCCAGATTGATCTCTGCTGTTATTAAACTGTATTTTTCTCTTGCTCACATCCAAGGCACCTCCTTTTCCATGGATTTGCCTTTCTCATTTAGACTGCAGAGACCCTAACTACTGCAAGTCCTAACAGGAATGTCTCTCCATTTTATTCTGCCTCCGTGTACMAATTACCTGGATTCAAAACTCCCCTGCAGTGTTTTCCACAAGGTGATTTAGCTGTGCACATCCATCTCCATGCCTTTTTTTCTTCTCTCAGCTACCTGGTTGATGAAGACCTGTGGCTGGTGATGGAATATGTGGATGGAGGGACTTTGACCAGTGTTCTTGTCCCAGTCTTTATAGAGGAAGGAATGATAGCTGCCATCAGTAAGGAGGTGARGGACCCTGCTTGTGCCTCCAATGGCTTGGACAGGGTGGGACAGGGTGGGACAGGAGTGACTTCRTGTTCAGAGCTTTGTTTCAGCACTGCTGTTGTGAAATGTAGAATAAAAGGGCATCTAAGTGAGCTGCCTGCCAGTATAACTGCATTTCTTATRCTCTGTTATTATACTCATACATTGTTGTAGTACTTTAAAAATTTATTTAAATTCTAAATATTTTACATTCTAAACTTTACCTCTTTAAACCGGAGCAATGCCTTCTTCACCTGTAAAAGCAAACGTGCTGGTGGTAGAATTTTAAAGTAACAGGAGATTAAAATAGAGACTCATTTCTCAYAGYCCTCAGTGTAAAAGAAGAGCATTGCACCCCAGCTGGTGCTACTTCCAAGTCTGCTGGTGAGGCCAACATAAAACCTTTGTCAATCAGCCTCCCACCCAAAAGTCCACTTCATAATGAAGGGAGAGGTTTTGGCAAACCCTGATTTGTCACCTGGATGGAGACAGCACAGGGGATTGGAGGGGGCAGTCTGTACCAACAGCTGATGTTTCACTTAGAAATTCAATCCTTTAGAGCCATTTCCTTTTCTTATGGGATGAAATGAGGTAAATTAACTTTTACCTTCATGGGCTTTTTGTCTCAGTGCCTCAAAGCCCTGGACTTCCTTCATTCAAAGAAGGTGATTCACAGAGATGTCAAAAGTGACAATATTCTTCTYGGAATGAAYGGATCTGTGAAACTGAGTAGGTATTCTTGGTCAGGCACAGCATCCCTGTGTTCTCAGACTCAAGGTGGGGAATTCTTGTGCTGGGTTTCACAGTTCAAGCTGGTTTTGACAGTACTTTTGTCCTTYTCCTCAGCTGATTTTGGCCTGTGTGCTCAGYTGACCCCTGAGCGGAGCAGACGGTGCACAGTGCTGGGCTCTCCTTACTGGGTAGCACCAGAAATTCTCAAAAAGGAGGAATATGACACCCAAGTGGACATCTGGGCTCTTGGGATCGTGGCAATTGAAATGCTGGAGGGAGAACCTCCCTACTTTCAAGAAAGCCCTATCCAGGTAAGGTGCAAATGCTGTCAAATCTCCCTGTCAGGAACAATCTGTGCCATGTTTTGTCTCCCATGAGCCAAAATCCCACTGGCATCAGCCTGAACTGGTTCCACCAAGGCCACTTCTGTCCCTGCAGAACATGTCATCAGAGCAGTGACACATGCCAGTGCAAAAATGTGCCATTTTGGCCTCCAGCACTGCTTAAATTCCTCCTGCTCTGTTTGATCTCTCTGAGCTGCAGCCCTGAATRACAGCAGCAAGTTCCTCCAATTGGGAAATTATTATGAAAAGCATTTTAAGTGTATCTGCAGGCCCAGAAGTCTTTTAAAACTCTGTCTGTTGCTTACCTGAGCCCTTCAGGGAGGGTCATTGGTTCTAGTAATGCCATAATTATCTATTACCCAATACATTTCTAAAAAAGCATGTTTTAGCAAAGCTACTTCTAGTAAACGTATTTTGAAGTTTTCAGTTTTAGATYGCAATTCCTTAAAATTAAATGATCAGTTCTCACACAAAATGAGCAAGGAATAATGGAGGAGTGTATCCCAGGATAAAACCTCATGACTAATAGCTGAAACCAAGTTAAATGCTGCACAGTTAATTCCTGAGGAAGACAATAATTCTGAACATTTTGGTCTTCCACTCTTTTYGAAAACATTTCCTGACTTTTCTTGGAAGGCTACTTTTGGATTGCCTTTGCCTTGTATAAGGCAGCAAAATCAGATGAAGGGAATTATTTCCAGATCCCAGAATATTCTGRGTTGGGAGGGATCCACRAGGATCAGCAAGTGCAGCTCTAAAATGATTGGCCCATCTGGGGACTGACRTTATCAGCACCATGCTCTGACCAGCTGASCYGCYCCCRGRGTTTTTATCATCACTGCTCTGGAGGATGAAAATTCCCTGCTTCCTTACCCTCACATGTTCACAGCCCCTTGGGAAGCCTCAGGAATTCTGAGAAAGCCASGAGGGGCCTGCAGCAGAGCTGCTCACCCAGGGAGGGTCTGTGGCTGCCCTGTGTCTCTCTGTCCCCAGGCTCAGCACCTGATAGCCCGCAACAGGTACCCCCCTCTGAGGATGCCCAACAAGATGTCAGTGCTGTTCCACGCCTTCCTGCACTCCTGCCTGGACATCGACCCCTCKGTCCGCTGGACAGCCCGGGAGCTCCTGCAGGTGAGGGGCAGGGCTGCAGGGACCATTCTCATCAGCTCCACCCACAGGAACCAGCTGCCTTCCTCTCCTGCTAATCCCCACTCTTGGTGCTTTTCAAAGTAGAATCACAGAATAATTTGGCTTGGAAGGGACTTTTAAATGCCAGCTGGTCCAAACCCTTTCCATGAGCAGGGACATTCTTCAACTCCATCAAGTTCATCAGAACCCTGTCCAGCCTGTGAATGTTTTCAGGGATGGGGCATCCACCACCTCGCTGGGCAACCTGTGCCAKTGTTTCACCACCCTCAGCATCAAMAATTCCTTCCTTAGATCTAACCTGAGTCTCTCATCTTTTAATTTAAAACTATCACTCTTTGTCCCTTTGCAACAGGCCCTACTAAAAATGGGTCCCCTTGAAGTTTTGAAAGGCTGCAATAAGGTCTGCCCTGAACCTTCTCTTCTCCAGCCTGAACAATCCCAGTTGTGTTGGCCTTGCCTCAGAGGAAAGATGTTCCATCCACCCTCTGACCAATTCTGTGCTGCACTTTGGGAGCCTGTTCAGGTTTAGCTGGTGGCAGTAGAATGGTGGCAGGTACACAGGCCTGAAATGTGCTGGAGGAAGAGGAACCCAGTCACAGCCCAGCAGTCAGGTTTGGCTGTGGGAAGGCTGTTCATGTCTTGGTGCTGAAAAGCTGCACCTCAGTGTTCCTGAGAAGAGCACAAGCCTCAATCCTACTGGGATCAGCACTTCTTGGAGCTTTTGGACTTCCCTGAGGAACAGCTTGCACTTGTCTTTTCTGGCAACTAAAGTAGCCCCTACCTTTGGAAAAAAAAACCTGAGTCTTTTGCGTTTCCTGAAAGGAAAAAAGCCCTGAGGCAGCAAGTGGCATTCCCAGACTGCCGGCAGGGCCAAAATCCCAGCAAGCTGAAGCCACTTTGATAAATTGATTACTGGGATTACTGGGCCATGTTTGCCTCTGATAGCGAGGTGCTGAATAGGAAGACTGAGATGTAGGTGGTCCCCTCAGTCCTACTGATGGATATTTCTGGTAACCAGAGGGATCCTACTTTATCTTGTGAGAAACTGGGTTTGGCAAGTAATGGTTCCTTTTTCTTTTTCCTKTGGGCAGCATCCGTTTTTAGATACAGCGGTGAGTCTGTCCACCCTGCCTCACACGATCCGTACAGCCAGGAAAATGCACACGTCCTTGGCAGCGCTTCATGGCAGCGCTTCYACCACGGAGATGAATACCGAATAAAATTTTCACTCTTTTGCGAGATTTGCTCCTGCTTCTCACCTGCTGGTTAAGCTGCACGATCACTTCTGAATTGTTGTTTCTTAAAGGTGGGAAGTCCTATTTAGGAGGTTTTGGTATGGTTTGGGAATATATTTTTATAGAATTATAATGATAATGATATGTGTAGATAGTGTTACAGAGCTATGGATGTATGCACTTTGCACTTTATATGGTCCCTATGCACAACCCTCCCATAACTCTCCTGCACTGTAGTCCCCTATATAATGCTGCTTATATATATATAWAAATAATATAACTAAATAATATRTATGTAKRTATAGTGTGTGTATATGTTGTGTGTAGATATAGTGTGTGTATATATGTATATATAAAATGTATTTTAATATACATATATATATAAATATAATATACGTGTGTGTAGATATATAGTGTSTGTGTATATATGTTGTGTGTGTATGTATATTGTGGGTATACACAGTGTCCATATATATACGTAAATATAAAAAATATATTTTAATATACACTCAGAGGCCCTTCTATAACTGTTACCCAGTGTATAGAGAGCTATAATAGCGTGCACAGGGCAAGGTGTGATATCCTCWATAAATCCTACCCCGTGTTTATCCGGGTGTTGTACCCGGTACGGTCACACCTGTGTGGGTGGACACCGAGCGCCCTCTCGCGGCCGCCGGCGGCGCAGAAATCGCTGAAATGGTAGTTTTTAGTAAAATTTTATTTAGATCATTTCGTATCGAAAAGTTACAAAAGGTTGCAGTGAAACACTTTATACCCACTTCCACCTGTTTGTATTTTTGAGGGGCTGGAGGTGGCTCGAGTGTGTACATAAATGCAGTTCCCCCCCAAAAAAACCCTTAATTTTCCTATATCTTGACATGAATTGTTAAAAACCCGCGCCCAGCCCTGTGAGGAGCAGCAGCACCACCTCTGCCCAGGGCTCTGTGCAGGGAGAGGCAGCAGCACAATTCCCCTCAGCCTGCTCGTGCCTTGCTTCAGCTGGGGCTCACCTGGGAGGACAGAAGTGTCTGTGAACCAGCAGAGCTGGGTGTGTTCCCAGCTGGACCAGCTTCTCCTGAGGGGAAAAGTAAATTCTTCCCACAAGCCATAAATGCAGAGCTCCAGCCATCCTTCTTGGCCCCAGCATGGGCAGTTGCTGAGGGCCAGCAGTGGTGTTCAAGGGCCCCCTGTTCCTGTGCCACGGGCACAAATGGGGAATGTTTGTGGTTGCTGTAATTATCAAGGCCTAAAAACCACCACCTCTRTGCTCCCCACCCTCACCTCCCCCTTTGCCAGGCTSYMCRTGCCCGAGAAGTGCTGGTCAGCTCCTCCTGCCCTGCTGTGCTGAGGACAGCCCTTACAGMGGCTGAAATGGGGTGGTGCTGCTGSGATGGGGTCAGGGCTCTGGGGCTCCACGGAAGAGCCAATGCCTCCCCTCCAGCTTGGGGCTGAGATGGCTCTGTGCCCTCAGCGGGATCGGGAGCTTTCTCAGCCAAATCGTGGGGCAGGGAGGCACAAACCTCCGGTGCCATCTGAGAGGGGAACCTTTCCCAGGATAAACACTGACCCAGGCCAGCCAGCTGGCCAAGCCAACCCCTGGGAATGGCACCCAGCCCACAGGGAACACTGCAGGAAGCAGCTCCCATGCCATGGAACAGGGTGTGAGGAAAAGCAAAGCAAACAGCTCTCAGTGCAGGCCTAGGGCAGCCCTGACATTTGCAGCTCCCCCTCATCCAAGCTCTGAGTCTGTACGAGACACTTTATGCTTTTTAAAAAAATAAATCTCAGTTTACAAACATTTCTGAGGGTAAACAATCCGGAAGCCATGAGCTTACAGAGAATGTCACTTGCCCGTGGGGCGTKTAGTTCACACCTCTGACAAGCTCTGCTGTGCCAAATGGCCTGAGCCCAAGCTGTGTGAAAAGAGCTGGATTTAGGGACTTGGTACACGCAGCTAAGCTGATGGCACTGCAGCAGCATTCACAGCCTTCTATTCCATCCCTGGCGTGTCAGAGAAAGCATTTTCCTACCACAGCTCTGATCCTTTTGGAGCCCTGAGGAGACTTCAAAACCTCTTGTGAAAACATTAACTCTATYGAGGGYCATTTCATACATTATAAAAATTGCRCAGAGTGGCTGAAATGGTACAAAGCATATAGAAATCCAAATTTCCTTGCTGTAAAAAAAAGTCCTTCGTCTTCACTTTACCAACCAGAGTCTGCAGCTAGGTAAAATCCATTTCTGAGTGTCTGGCACAGAGCTTCGTGCACTGCCCAGATAGCTGCTGAGGTAGCCCTGCCATGGGCTGCAGGGGAAGGTAAGCACTGGCACCAGAACCCTGCTGYGAAATAACACCCATCCTCCATGGTACCCATGTGAAACTTCATCAAACATCAGCCACGCCAGCAATAAACGACTGCAAAATCCTGAGAGTGAGACCTGACACCTGCCAGGGCAGAGCAGCSTGACTTTACAAACTCACCCTTGTCATGAGCTAGTTTTCTCCTCTTTCAGGCTGGTGGTACATCTACCATAATGAGAGAGCTGTTATTCCATTTTTAGCATTATGTGGATGAAACAAAGCAAGGAGGTTTCCATTACTGAATCTGTGCTCAGAGCAAAGCCACAACTGGACTGTGAGGTGCCCTTCCTGCCCTTRACAGAGATACCAAACTGTGAGACATCAGCTTGAGCTGAAGAATCAGAAAGTCAATCTGAGAGCCTTCAGGTGGACAAAGTTCTTATTTGCTGTGGTGTTCGAAGAGGCACTGCCCCTCTATTTTAATATTGTGCTGGCATGACTGGTCTTGAGGCCATGAGCTGTGACTGAACTCCTTGAGTAGTGACATTTTCACCAAAGAACAGAAACACCTGATCTGTAGTGAAATTCATTAAAATAATTCTATCTTCTGTGGAGGAAAAAGAAAATCCCCCTCCCAACCCCAGCCTGGCAGTGAAGATGGACTGAACGATGTGAATCCACCTCGTGCTCGCCACTCCCCCAAGCTGCCGCTGGGTGCCCGATGGAGCCGCATCCTCAATGACGCTGCTGGGAAGATGCTCACACCTTAACGAGTTCATCTGCCAGCATCCCATTTGGCCCCTCTCCTACTGCATGTGTGGCATCACGAGCACAGATATGTATAAATATGCATTTTCCCCTCTCCCCAAACCCCTCCGCCCATKAGCGATGCGAACGCGGAGGGTTGGAGGGCTTTTTCTCCCTTTAAAGCGATTATGCTGATGCGCAGCCCGCGCTGCCGAGCGCYGCCGCCGCCGGGAGGTGACAGCTCCGTCTGGCTCCGCGGGGCTGCGGCGCTCACAGCTCGGCGAGGTCATCGCTGGAGAGAACCTTGACGGTGATGCGACCCGGCACCTCGGCTGCTTCCCCGCCGCCCCTGGCCCGCAGCCGCAGCGTCTGCTGCTCGCGGGGGTCAGCGGGGGAGGCGGCCAGCACYGCCTGCCCCAGGAACTGGTCACTCAGGAGGCTGCTGCTCCACACCTGGGGACGAGGGGACACAAACAGAGCCGGCTGAGGCGGCGCTGCTGTCACACTGCGCAGGGGAGGGTTGTGCTTGACCGGGATCACCACCACTAACCCCCTGGAAAATCGGCGAGGGGAGGGTGTGCGTCTAAATTTAGCTAATTGTCTGGAGAGCAACGAGGGAGAGCCTGGATTTGCATGCTCATTTACATAGACTATGCAAATAAGGAGGAAAACGCAGCTTTTTGCTTTCTAGGTCACAGACTGCCTAGGAGAGGAATAAAAATGACCTTTTTGAGCTCATCAAAACCTCCCTCCATGGCCTGTTTGTGCTGCTCTGCCTGCCTGTGCTCACCTCTGCACCTCTTCAGCTCCTCTGGCAGTGTCAGAGCCTGGCCCACAGCCCAGAGTGAGGACAAAGTTTTCCTGCATCATCTCATTGCCAAGCTCTGTTTCTCCAGCTAGTGCTGAGGTAAACAGTGTGCTCTAGTTCCCACAGGACTGGAGTTCAGGGTAAAAAACTTTTTAATATTAACCTCAGCTTTGGTTTTGTTTCAAACACTGACTCTGCACAACACTGGGCTTTTTTCTGTCACTGTTTCACCAGGTAACACACAGGGCAAAAGGGAATTGTGTAAATTCTTTCCAAACCTTGAAATGAAACCTGCCTTGGAATGAAACATGCTGTGGCATGAAATATGCTTTTTGACCCCTAAGTGCCATCGGTGGGTGTTTGTGGAGGAGAAGCAGCAGCACAGCTCCAGGCAGAGCCCAGCAAGGGGAGCAGAGGTTCTCACTCCTCTCCTGGTGATCAGTCACAYCAAGGAAAAGCTGGCCCAGGGCACCCAGAGCTGCTGCTGTGCTGCCCTCCCTGCCCTCAGCAGCTGCCCCGAGTGCTGTCTCACCTGGATGGTGACAGGGCTGTCGATGTCCTTCCTGTAGAAGATCACCTGGGTGTTGAAGACAGGGCTGGTGGTGCCGTGCTGCACCGGGGAGTGCCTGCTTTGCTTCTCACACTTGATGAGCACGTAGGGATCTGCTCCTGGAACACAAGCAGCAGCACAGCTCTGAGGACACAGAGGGGCACTGAGACCTGCCCAGAGCCCCAGCAGAGACAATCCCCTCCTGTGCCCAGCAGCTGAGCACAGGGCAGGGCACCAGAGCACGTCACAGCCACTGCTCCGGGGCCAGTGAAAACACAGAATCATGGCAACAACATGGTTTGGCGTGGGAATGGCCTTAAATCTCATCCCATCCCACCTCCTGCCACGGGCAGGGACATCTTCCACTGTCCCAGGCTGCTCCCAGCCCCAATGTCCAGCCTGGTCTTGGACATTTCCAGGGACCCAGGGGCAGCCACAGCCACAGCTGTGATGCCACCCTGTGCCAGGGCATCACAGGGAAAAATTTCTTCCTAGCACCTCATCTAACCCTCATGCATGATCCCCTGCAATTGTTCAACATTTATTAAATCTTTGTTGGTTTTACACTGAGCATGTGTATATCTTATTAAAGTTTCTATTTTCTTTCCAGTAAGGAGTAAAAACCAATTCAGAAACACATGTTTTTAAACTCAAATAGAATGGGCCATTCCACTTTGTTTAATTAAAAGTTAATTAAAAAGGCAGTACCTTTTTTTCCTATTTCAACATACCTATCTCTGTTCATTCCTGTTGTTAAAAAGAGCACATCTATTTTTTCCACACCTTGCTACTTCTTAGACACAGATTTTAAATAAAGCCACTGAGTACCTGTAAGTGTAAATCCTGCTCATGATAGTTTCTAACACACATTTTTTCACCATCTATTTGAAAATGCCACCACAGCCAGAAAGCAGCATAATTTTAAGCCAGCTTTAGTTTTTAAAAAATCCATACCCAGGCTGATTTCCCTCAAACACGTCCCTGATTTACAAGTTCAGGTTCTAACACCTCACACAAATAAACCACATAACAGCCGCATCCAGCCCAGGCAGAGCCACTTTCACACATAAGACAGACCCAGATTTTTCCATATGCTGTGTATATCCATATGTGACACCTGGCCAGAGCTGCCACAGGCCCGTTTCCCTGACAACCCCTCCCAGTTCCATGGCAGGTAGCAGGATAYTGGCTTTTCTGAGTGGCAATTGCCTTCCGTGTCACTGAACGGGTGAATTCGGCTCCGGGCATGGGGTGGCACCGTGCGGTGTGATCGGGGGTGCAAAAGCTGCCCTCYTTGCAAAGCAATTTGGAAAATGGATCTGAATGAAACGGGGTCTTGCCTGTTAACACCAACCAATGGTGTTAACAGCTCTGTCCAGAGCAGAGAGCAGAGCCACATCCGATCATTAACAGTAATTAAGAGATAAAGGGCATAAGRAGGGGTGGGGAAAGGACACAGCGCTTGAAGAGGTGACAGGCACATCTGCTGGATGGATGAGGGAGCAATTAATGAGGAGACTCACTCAGTGAAAGGAAAAGGAAAGATAATATTTGAAGGAAATATCCAAATTCTCAGCAAGAGAAACAGAGGGAGGGAGAAGAGGGACACAAAATGTTCCTGCACTGCASGACCCCACGATGGCAGTGCTGGATGGGTCAGTTGTTTTAGGAGAACTGGCTCCAATTCCAGAACAAAAGGAAACAACGGGAGAAAAAACATCGGGGATCAGATGTTCTCAGCTATGGATGGCCCAGTTCTGAGCCTGGTTTATTTACAGGACAAAGGGAAAACAATGTCCTGGTATTGGCCATAAGCTGGGAATGAAACTGGAGCTGAAACTCAGGAAATGGCTCTGGCAGTGSAARCAGGGCTGGGTTCAGCTCTGGGGCACACAAATGGCTCCAGCYCTGAACCCCATAACAGCTCCCTCACCTCAGTCCTGGCAGTGCTGCTGCTTTGGAAAGGTGTATAAAAGAATAGGACAGAGGAAAAAGTGTGAATCTGGAAAAGCCAGAAACACCTGAACAGTAAAGGCATTCCTAAGGCTTAAAGAAATCTGTGATCAATAGTCTAAGGCTTGGTTTTTGGATCCTTCAGCACTTTTCCAAAGTAAAAGGTTTTCTGGAAAACATTCCTGAAGGAATGTTCCCAGATGCATTCCTACTCTCTGCTGCTCTTACCAGCACCCAGAGAGCTCTGACACCCTCAGCAGCTGGAAAAGGGCTCGGGACAAGCAGCAGACAGAGTTCTGAGACACGAGCACTGCCCTGGCAGTCACAGCAGGTTGTTCTGCCTCTTGCAGGTGAGTCTCTGCTTATCCTTCCTTCTGCTTCTCAGGCTGCTCCCAAGGCAGCTTCCACCAAAGATTCTCTGCTTCCAGGGCTCCCACACACCAMGGATCTCAACACTCAGCCTAGAACATCACCAGTGAAAGATAATTAAATATGCAAATCCAACATGGAATTTCATCAGGAAGACTTAAAGGTGCAAAAGGTGATTTGTTATCAGAGAGAAACTCTCTCGGGAAAAAGGCATGACAGACACTAGTGAGAGCAATTTTAAAAACAGGCTTGGGAATGGGAGACAGAAAATCCCCAAGCACAAAGGGGTCCCTCGTCATCCTGCAGACCTGCCACTGTCCTGGGCTCACAGACAGCTGGATCCACTTCAGAACACACCAACCTGCAGAGAGGCACTCCCACGAGGAGCCCAGGACTGATTCTGGGCTGTTAGATTCATCCACTATTCCTGACAACATTCTATTGTCCAGACAGTGCAATGGATCAAAGACAGTGCCAAGGAGGAGCTTTCCAACAAACATTTAAAATAAAGATTAAATAAACTTCCTCTGGCCAGGAACAGGGCTCTGACAACAAGCAGCACTGAGCTATGCAATCCTCATTCTCTTCCAACTTTGTTTATGCAGTTACTCAGAAATTTGTACTAAGTACAACTTTGAGATGTCAGTGATGGGCTTATGTGAACAATGCGCTCCAGCCTCAAATCCTTCAACTCCAGTGATACAGAAAGTATTTCTGTTCAAGCTGCTCTTAATTTCTGCAATGCCAGACTTGTAATGCCAGTCTCAGTCCTCAGAAGCTCCAGAATGAAGCTCTCCTTTATCTCTCCTCCTTTCTTATCAGGCTTTGTCTTYTCTCTGTGCTGAGGGATGACAGTGGCAAAGCAGGCAGGTGGCTGGGCAGGGTGGGACACAGCTGACAGTGACAGACTGAGCAGAAGGGAAGGGGCAGCTGGAAAGCTGAGGTGCTGCAGGAATGTCCAGCTCTTGTGAGACTGGAGATGAACTGTCCTGCAGGTCTGACCGCTCTCTGCCACAACAACTCAATGCAGCTGAGCTCCACACCTGAGACTGAAGAGAGGGAAGAGCCCCCTGGGGCAAACAGAGCCGTTCCAGGACCTCTGCAGCTTCCTCACCCAACTTCACAGCAGTATCTTTGCTCCTCTGCTGCTTTCTCCCTATCAGCCACTCCACTCCCTATCTTTTTTTTCACTCTACTGGCTGTGAAAAATGAAGACAATCAAGCAGAGAGTAGGAGAAAATGAAAAAGCAAATGACAGCTGGGCAAGGTTCCTAATTAACTCAACATCAGCTGCTAGAAAGCCATTTTAGTGTCCTTCATGACACTTCCTCTGACACAGATACACAGTCATGAATGAAGCATTTAACCCTTGTTCTATTTTACCCAGCTCAAAATGGTTGTTTGGAAATCATGAATTCCTCCCTGAAGTGCTCTAGTGACGTAAGTGTAACACACTGTGAGTCTGTGCCATTCAGCTGCCTCCTGGATGTTTTCCATTTAGAAAACACATAACCCGGACTGAAGAACCTTACTAATTGCCACAATTAGCTCCTCAGGAGGGTCTGGAACACTCCTGCCCATCTGGATCYGTGGAGATGACACATAATTTTCTGGTTTAGATCCCCATATTCGTCTGATCTTTCCACTGGARCAACATGGTGAAAAAACAAACCCCAAAAATCCTCTTCTTGCTTGGATAGTTTCTGACTGTTTACGTATCAACCCAAAACATCTTCAGGGGTCTGAAAAGCCAATTCCCTTCTTCCAGACTCACTTCCCACTTACCTCCTGCTCTGTCTTGCTTCTGCAAACCCTCTGCAGAAAGGACTTTGATTTGGGTGACTCTGCGTGGGTAGCCACAAAGAAGATTCCAGCACGTCATTTTAGGTCTATCTGCCTTCAGCTCCCTGAAAAATCATGGAAAAAGGAACCCAAGCAAAGAATGTCAAACGAACAATCAATGGTTGTGGAAATCTGGCATTTTTAGAACATGGGGTTTGTAGTTCTTCCTCATCTGCCTTTTTTGAATTCTGCGGTGCAGAAATGATATGTAAGAAATAAAAACAGAGGGAAGCAAAGTAAACCAAATTTGTRTTATCTTTTGCATGGAAGCAAAACTGGTGAAAAAACTCCAAACCTTTAAATAATGGAATAATACTATCAAATCAAGAAAAAAAAATTCAGATGGCCTGATTCTGTAAGGCACTGATATCAACTACTGGTTTCAGAGAAGAAGGTCACAGAAACAACAAGCACCAGCTGTAACCACAGCATCAGTACTCAATGTCCTGACCTGGAACTGGAGGGTACTATAAGAGCCTAATTAAAAAGCCAAAAGACCCAAAATGAATTGTCCAAGAGGTCCCTAACTAAATATTTCCTGACCATGCACAAACCTGGAGATTCAGAGAGGTGACCCCTGATGTCTCCAGGGCCCGGCTCTGGAGCCACATGAACCAGTGAGTCAGAAATGTTTGAGGACAACCAGGCAGCCCCTTCCAGGGAGCTGCAGGCTGGGGAGGATCCCCTGCAGCTGTCAGTGCCACCCACCTGAGCTTCGAGGGCACGTCTGTGTAGAGCCTSAGGATGAATTTTGCAGGGATGCCCGGGATGTAGGTGGTTGGGACCAGGACGTAGCGGCCTCGCTGCAGGCTCCTCCTSAGGAACACGCTGCGGGTGTTGGAGTAGGGAGATGTGGCTGTTCTCTCCTGCACCGTGAGTTTGTGCAGCCTGTACCTTCTGTTGTCCTCCACCTGCAGCAGGACAGGGATTACTGCTGGCAGGGAGAGCAGGGRAACAGGCTGGGCTCCCCCCAAGCACCTCACGGCTTTCCAGGGCCATGAAACACAACGTACAATAAAGGAAAATAATTCATATTTTTTTCAACCATTTAAGCTGTGRTGATGCCTAAAACAAGGTTCACCTGGAACAGAGGCCAGATAAAGTTAAGAGAATAAAAGCAGATAAATTTAATCCAGGCCTACTGGTACATTGAGACAAAGCYTCCTCCTGAGGCTGCACCCAAAATGGACCCCGAGTCATGAGATCTTCCCCTTTTATAAGTTCTGTCTTATTAACATATCAGGCCTCAATTCTCCAATTCCACCTTCAGGTGATGATGTCAACCACCCCAAGCTTGCTCCCCCCAATTCTCTGTTGTTTCCATATTTTGGGGCTCTGAGGCAGCGAACTGTCCTTGGATTCAAGCTCAGAGAGGAATTGTTTTGTCTAAAGATGTGAGAACAGCAGCTTTAGTGCTGTACACTAGAGAAGTACAAGAATACAGATACATGAAAATATAGAGGCTAAAAATCCTAAGACATCAGTGKCAGTGAAAGTTTGGGACCGGCAAAGACAGGAACCCATTGAAGAGATGTGATGCCACTGCAGAGCTTAGAAAACTTCCAGAGATGGACACACAGCCCAAGGACTGCACCTGCTGAGCCAAGGCTGAGATGCCTCTGCCTCCACACTGTGGCCTTTCACAGCTGGTTCTCAATCCAGATGCACACAGCTGTATTTTGGTTTCCCTTTACCGAATACAARACCACAGAAAAACCATTCATGTTTTGTTCTAAGCCTTGAAGCTGTGCTTAGGTCTGAATATCCTTTCCAGGGGACTGGCATTTGCCACAGCACAGTGAAAATCTAAACCTACTCCTTAAGCAGCTCTTGGGGCAAAGGCAGCCCTTCATTCTTTTCTGGCAGTTCTCTTCCCAAGGTTTTTAGTCATGCTAATGAGCCTAGTGCATTAGAATATGGCTAAAATAGAAAAATTATTGATCAGAAGTAAAAATAGAGCGCTGATATTTTTATGAAGGTGTGATTTTCTTTTTTAAGCCTTTCTAAATTACAGGCATGAGCAAGGCAAGGCAAATTATGCACCTCCTGTAATGACACTTTTCAAYGTATGTGGTTAACAGGTGACTGGCAAATGAATAGGTGTGATGCAGATGTCAGCAGCTCTAACTGACTGTAAAAAATTGACTGTTTTTTAGGCTAGGGCCATAGACTTAATATAGTTCCAGTAGCTGTAGTAACAGATGACAGGATTACCCCAGCYCTCAGTGAAAAAGCAGAAAAAGAGCTGCTTACTTGCTTAGCTCCTTCTTTGAGTTCAGGTGTTTTCATTTTACTCAATTTGCCCTGCGAGTGCAATCAAATTACCTTTTGGGATCCCTGTAGYTCCTTTTCCCATAAATTCATTTCCTACTTACTACTCCAGATTTTGAAAACACTCTGTTTCCTAAGTGGCAACAGAAAAACTGCAGACTTTTCAACCTCATTCACCTGGCTGTATTTGCTGATGAAACGGAGGSAGAAGCCTCCAGTGAGAAAGAGAAAAATCCATCCATATTTCAAGCATTAGTATTATTTTTTCCTGAAGGATTAAGGGTAGGAAAAACACTTAAAATTYTGTTGCAAGGGGGAAAATTATTTACTTTGAATAAATGAAATTGATTCAGATCAGTTTGAATTGAACTAAATTCAGTTTAGTTCCCGTGGCATGTGTGATGTGAGCTCTGGTGATGGAATGCAGTGCCCACAGAAAGCTTGTGCTGAGCACAGAGCCAAACCCCAGGACAGCTCTGACTCTCTCTGCCAGAGATTTCACTGTCAGGGTGAAGCAGGAGTAAAAAAAAACTGAGCAAACTGCACCAGGAGTGCAGCTGGCTGCCTACCTTGAGTATTTCAAAGCCAATTGTGATGTTGTCTCCTTTCCCTTCCTTCTTGTACTTGCGRCGATCCTCCTGCTGTAACGAGACCAGCACTTCATCCTCAGCCTTCTTAACATCAAAGATGTACTGGGAGGAGAGAGAAAAGAGAAGASCTGTTAGAATTGCCTCAGGACTGTGAGGATAAAACCATCACCAAGGAAATATGTGCATACCAAGGAGGCAAATGGTAATACATTGGGGGAGAAAGGAAAGTTCTCCATGTAACAGACAGTCCCAGCAATTCACTGCTGGGAAATTCATCCTGATAATAAGGAATTTTAAGCCAAAAGTATCAGGTGAATAAAAGGTATRGGTCAAAATGGTAATCTTAGTGATAGGACACAGGGGAATGGGCTTAAGATGAAGAAATGTAGGTTTAGATTGRATGTTAGAAAGAAAYTSTTCCCTGGGAGGGTGGGSAGGCCCTGGCACAGGGTGCCCAGAGAAGCTGTGGCTGCCCCTGGATCCCTGGCAGTGTCCAAGGCCAGGCTGGACATTGGGGCTGGGAGCAGCCTGGGACAGTGGGAGGTGTCCCTGCCATGGCAGAGGGTGGGATGGGATGAGCTTTAATGTGCCTTCCAACCCAAACCMTTCTGTGATTTTCTGATTTTTAAAAATTCACAAAAAGGACAAAGGGATGAAGCTACAAAGTAGCTGGAGTCAGCAGAGACCTCATTTGAATGCAAAAGACTAAAAATTAAGTTGTAGTCAGCTACAAATCAGGAGGGAGATTAAAAACTTAAACTAACAGACTCCAGATGGGGTCTTAGATAATTTTGTTTCTTCTTTTAACTAAACATTGCCTGTAAATTTCAAACATCTTTATATAGGGCCTGCAAATCAAGGAATCTTTCAAATCTTGGTTAAAAATGCACTTTGTGGGTACGCTTTGTTTTGCACCTGCAATTCCATTTAATGTGAGAATGACAAAAYGCTAATTTTGGACTTCTCAGTTTTCCTGAATATCCAGTAAAAATGGCTAAGAAGGATTCCTGCACCTTCAACTTGCAAATATTTTATCCAAACTGTTTATAGTAAATTTGAATCAACTTGGGTTTAAGACCAATCAAAGGTCTTAAAGGACTTGAAGGACCTAAAGGTCACAAATCAAAGGAATTTATCTTAAGTTTYGGCAGCAGTTTTCAACCCACTAGGTCACACTTGCAGAGTTACGTTATTAAGTATCATTACCAGACCAGTTCAGAAGTAAGTATGAACAAAAAAATATCAGACAGGTGCTTCTTTATATGACAAGGAATTAAATTAATTTGTTTATTATTAGAGACTCCTTTAAATTTTGCTTTATTCATGCAGAGGGCAAATTTGAGTTGTGGAGGGAAGAGGACATTACTTACACCAAGTTTAGACAGATGCTGCACTCTTCCATTCTCCAAGACATTGAAATGTGAAGAAAATAGAAACATAAATCTGCAGCAGTGCACAGCTGGGTACCATGTGCACCACATGTTCTGATTTGAGCTGAAATTCCCTGGTAGCATGGAGAGGAATATCYTTATTGGTTCAATTCCCTCCTTCCTTCTCCAACTGCTGCTAAAAAGTAAATTATGGAGCTTTGCTGTGAGKTGGATATTGAGATTGCCTTGGGTACAGAACCATCCACATCCCAATGCTCTGCTGAACAAGGTCCATCCCAATTTTTTATCTGTGTTTGGCATCACCTATTGCAGCAGAGAAAGCACAGGGCCCTGGGAGAGTCCCAGGGGGTGGGGAGAGCCTGTGCAGAGAGAATCTAAAAAGTGAGCTATAAGCACACAGCAGCACCCAGTAAGGCACATTTTAACCCTTGTCCCTGCTGAACCACACACAGGGTTACCCCCTTGGGCAGCCCAGAGTGTCCCAGGGCAAATGGAGGGGTGGGAGKGGAACAAGTGGAACAAGAGAGCTCTCCTGGCCTGGTGAGAGCTCTGCCACTGTGACCTTCTTCTGATGACACTTCAGATATCCTAATGGGTAATGAGCAGAATACACACACTTGGCTTAAATTGCCTTATCACAAGGGACTGGAAGTGTCACAACCCCTRTCTGCACAGATGAACCTCACAGGAGGCCTTGGTGCTGAGAGAACAGACAGACATTATCTCTAGGTTATGGTGGGGTGKGCCACAGCRATCTGTAATGGCCCTAAGATAACATAAATGKGTTCAGCACTGCTGCTAAGAGCCTTTTAATCAGCTTTTAATCAGCTGGCCCAGAGATAACACTGGAGTCCAGAGCCTTCCATCATATCAGGCACTGCACTCAGCTGGAACGTGCGTGTTTGGGTCTCTGTGACAGCTGAACATCTACAAATGAGAGCAGACAAGCACTTGGAATACACCCAGGATCCTCCAGGGGAATACCTGAATGAAATCACCCTCTGGAAATGAGGCACTGACAGAAGACAGAGCTGTGCAGAACTGCAGGATGAGCTGGGAGTCTGAGATCTGATCTGCTCCAGCAGCCTGCTCTGAAAACAGAGGGTGCAGGCAGAAACCTCCCCTGCAAGTGCAGAGAAGCAGATCCAAACCYATCTTTCATTGATCTGGACAAAAAKGTCAATTTTCAAASTARTAACTAACAGTAACAGTAAGTGCCCAGATGCCCAGAYCCCACTGAGAGTAATGGAAGTTTTATTCCTGAATTTGCATGTGCTGGGCTGAAAACACACCCCATGGAGAAGGGTAGGAAGGTGGGAAAGGGAGGAGGAATGGAAGGACAGATAAACTGCATAGCTTGACATGACCAGATGGGATGARACAAGGAAAATTCTGTAATGCTGATGAGAAGCTTTGCTTGGGGAAGAGACCAGGTTACTTCCAGAATCTCAGACTGATGTCAAGGGATCCTAATTAAATACAGTGAGTCGAATCCTCAGGCTGTTCAAGGGTGTTAAGTGAGTTCTGCCATTAGAAAATCAGACTTGTTGTCTTTCTATGACTGGGAAACTGAAAGAAGTCCAGGCAGGATGTCAGTAATTCTATAATTTTTGTGATTCACCAGCCCCAAACATAATCAGTCCAAAATAAATATCTCAACCCTTCTGAGAAATTGCACCAAAATCACTGAAACAGGCAGTAAACAGCACAGCCCCAGGGCAATGAGATTTTTGTCAAGTAGTCACTGCCAGCTCCTAAACAGGGTGGATATTCCAGGAGCCTCAGCTAAAATGGATGCACTTCAACAGCTCACAAAATACAGGGGTTCCCACCTGGGGGCTCTAAAGGAAGGTCTCTGTTATCAAATATCTCACAAACACAAAATACCTCACAAAATATGGGCATTCCCACCTGGGGGTTCTGARGGAAGGTCTGTCWGTTATAAAACACCTCACAAACACAAAATACCWCACAAAACTCAGGGGTTCCCACCTGGGGGTTCTGAAGGAAGGTCTCTTTGTTATCAAAGCAGCCCCCAGAGCGGTTCAGCAGGGGCTCTGAATGCTTTGCCCAAGCCCCATACATCATTTTCTTCTCCCAGGTCTTGTGGATGCTGAAGTAGGAGGTGTTCACAGTCCGGCAGATGTCCACATCTGTGAAATTCTTACACCAGTCCTCAAATGTCATCCTGTTCCGTGGAAGTAATGGTTTGGTTAGAAATAAACAGTGCAACTCACGCAAAGAGCCAAAATAACACACAAAATCTGCCAGTAATTGGAAGAGGAGGCATTGCTCAGCTGTCCAGGGGACAAACTGATTCACTGGAAAGCTCTCCAYGTGGAAATACTTATGAAGCCACAACCACACAGTCTCAAGGCTTAGTTTAGAGCAGTGTCACTCAGTTTGGTCAGCCCTGGATCCGTTCTGTTGCATCTCTAAGCCTAAAGGACTGGTTTAATCTACCAGGCTGGATTTGATAACAGATTTCACAAAGCCAAAAGAGATTCCCTGCAGTTAGAGTATGATCTCATTAGTACAGTCCTTGTTGTCACACCTGTCCCTGAGCACAGCTCAAACCTCTGTTCTCWGGGCAGAGCTTTTATTGAACCCCATCTCACCTGTGCCTGCTAAAGSAAGGCTGGACTGCAGAGCAACTGGAAAACAGCTTGGATTTTGGAATGATCATCGTGGCGTGGCTTATTAATGGCCCAGAAGCAAACCCTGAGCTGCCAGTCCTGACAAAGCCAACAGAATTCGTTTCCTACTGAGCCCTGCCAGCTCACTTGATGCAATATTGATCATCCATTGAAGGACCTGCTAGACTAAGGGTCTCAGCTTTCAGCAAAGCCAAAATTAACAGAGGTCTAGAGACTCTGTAGAGAATGTACACTTCTCATTCCCATGCTGGAAAACACCAAAAAATATCAAAATTCCCTGGCTGCAACTCTATTTTGGACCTACAGATAGACAGAATAATCAGTACACAGGACTGTCAATGTGTTCAACATTGGGCATTGTGTCATCTAAGCCAGCACATGTTGTCTTGGTTCCTGAGAGATTGTCCTAAATATAGATAATAGATTTTGAGAGCTACTAATTTGGTTCTACTAGTTTAAAATCCATTTTTATTATTCTTCCCTGTCAACCATTGGAGTTTGAAAGAAACAGACCTTGGGATAACTTCATCCATCTGGGGAGGCTGTTTTTGGAGYTGTTAAATGGCAGATTAACGACAGCTACTCAGTGTAGCCAGTGTCTCCAMACCCTTCACTCCCACTCACCAGAACTCTCCATCGTTCTCAACAGTGAGCCCCAAGTTCTTGCGCTCAGAATCGCTGACTTTCTTCCACTCTTCAGAACTAAAAGGAAATAATTAAAAAAAAAAATAATAGAAAAAAGAACAATGAAGATGATTAATAACATAAATTAAAATCTCTCACCTGGAATAAAATATTGGAAATGAAAATCTCTCATGGTAAAAATCTCTCATGGTCCCTTGTTTCAAAAAGGAGTACCAGAGTACTGAAAGGGTAGATTATATTAATGGAAGTGTGAGGCTTGCAGGAGGAGTTTTAAAACATTAATTGATTTGAAAGCCACTAAAAAAGGAAGAGATGAATAGGAAATTGGCACAACTASAGCAGAACCTTATTGATTTCCTTTGTCATGCTCTCCATTAGGACTCTTAAACACTTAAACAGCTGGTTTCCAAGGTCACTGGAGATCGACTCCATTCCCTGAAGGCCCTTAAATGAAACCTKGTTTTCCTCCTCGGGAGATTATTGAAAGCTTCACTTAGACCAGAATATTCTCTTTGTCTTTTAATCACCTTAATAAAATGGCCTGAGGTCTGAGATGTCCCCAGGGAGCCTTTGGAAGGAAGTGCTGGAGCCTGAGCACAGTGTCCAGTTTCCAGAGGAACATTTCAGTGCACAGCCCCTGCAGGCACCTGCAGGGGGGCACAGACCCCAAATTCCTGCAGCCTCATGCTGAAACCCTACAACAGASCCCTTCCCTGATGGGTTACACCACATAAACAGAGGCACAACTCCTCACTGCCTCTCCAGAAGCACTTGGAGGCTAAAGCTGAAGGTGGCTGGCAGGAGAGAAGGGAGGCTGCTGGCCCTAACAGACATTTTCCTAACCTATTTGGAAATTGTCAATTTAATTCTGTTAGTCCAAAAGCCACAGGCCACGGTCAGAGTGCTCKGTGCTGGAGTGAGTGGCAGCTGTGCCAGACATGGGCAAGGGCAGAACCCCAAGGGCTTCACTTCAACCAGACACAGTAGCTCTTTTGTGCATTCTTTGCATTTCACCCAGACCAATCTCTCTGAAAGTAGATTTTTGCTAGCTAAAGCATGGATTATAAGAAAGTAATATGCTGCTGTTGAGAACACTGCATTGTCAARTACTAAATACTGGCTGGTGAGCCCGGTGCTGAACTGTCATATGCTTTTCACTTATAAATCACTGCTCATGGAAGACTCCCCCTTCAGAAATCATTTCTGTTGCTGTGGAGGTGCCTGCTAAGCCCATGGCCCACATGAAAATTCATTAGAAAAAAAATTAGAAAGAAATTAGAAAGAAATTAGAAAGAAATCACAAATATGGCACTTTTGCAGCATTTTTCACCAGTCACTTAAATTATCTAAGAGACTTTTACCATCCCCAGCAGCTGAAATGACAGATGAGAAACTGAGTCACAGACACACTCAGTGGTGAAGCTGGGAATGTGCCTCATGTTCTTAACTCATCTCCCTAATTGTAGGATAATTATCTGCCAATGTCCCAGTGGGACAGAAGAATGATGTGAACAGTAAATGAAGGGAGCCATCAGTTCCTCCAGGATTACTCATTTTCTCAAGGAAAATGGGCAGAGGGGCACAGAGCTCCAGCCATCCCAGAGAGATGTGTCTCAGCAGTGTTTATCCCAGATGTCCAGCGGCCCCAGCACAGTTCCACCCCTTTGCACTGGGTTTGCAGCCCTTACCTGTCACTCCAAGCACCGTGCCATTCCTTTTTGCCCCAGGGATTCCTCAGCCTGACCATGAACAGCTTTTCTGCCTTGAAAGAGAAGATGAGCCTCTCGCCCAGGCGCAGTTTCTGGATGGCAGTCACCGAGTAGGCATGGCCCACAATGAGCCCCATCTCTGTCTCTGCTTCACTGGGGCGCCCAGGGGACTCCTTGGGCACAGAGAATGACAGTTAAACCAAAAGAACTCACATCCCTGGGCAACCTGACAGCTCCAAGTTCAAGAAAGATGAGGAAGGTTTGTTTGTCATTCCCTTCCCAAGGGATTTGACTTTGCAGGAAAGTAACAGCACTGGGAATCAAAACTGGGGGCTCGCCAGTCTGGTGTTGGCAGGGTAGTGCCAGAAAATTCCAGAGCACAGGGGAATCCTGCTTGCTGCAGCCAGTCTGTTGGCTCCTGGCCTCACAATTAGAGACAGGGCTGAGGGAAAATCTTTATCAGCCCTTYCAAAATGTTGTCCTTATTGCAAAATGGCTCTTGTGGATACTGATGGCTGTACTTGGACTGTCTGCAGATGTCCTCACCTGGACACTCATGAATTTAGATGGTGAGTCCATTGGGTGTTCCTGTRTTGAGGTGAATTTGATAGCCAGGAAGAACTACTGGCAATGGTAAAAAAAGAAAAGCACAGGCACAGGTTAAAAAACTTCCAAGCCATTTGTGAAGCCTGTCCTGTACCTCACTCACTGCTGGTAGGGCTCTCTCATGTGGCAAAGGCAAGCTCTGTAGGGTGTTTTAGGAACTGGGTTTGCTCATCATAAGCTCCATGAAAGAATCTCAGTTTCCAGTAGTGATCAGACTGTCCCTAAACTGTCCCTAAACTAACCTGAAACGGTCCCTAAACCAATCCTAAATGGTCCTTAAACTAACCCTAAACTAACCCTAAACTAACCCTAAACGGTCCCTAAAACAATCCTAAACTGTCCTTAAACTAATCCTAAACTGACCCTAAACCAATCCTAAACTGTTCCTAAGCTAATCTAAACTGTCCCTAAACTAACCCTGAACTGTCCTGTTGGATAACCTAGGCCTGATGAGATGCTGATCTAAGAACACACAGAAGTTGTCAAGCTCTGAAAAAGCRCAATTTCATTTAATGCATCCAAATYTCCTGATCTAAACCCAGCAAARCAATATCACACAAAGATGCTGGAGTTGTTTTGAAGGACTGGCTCTTTACAGTGCTGCCTCTGAGCAACACAGACCAGGCAGGACACAGAGAAAGTAACGTTGTGCCAGAGCTGTAAACCCTTCTGCTGAGCCGGGAATGATCCAAATAGTCCTGGATCCAGGTTCTCCACACCCTCCCTGAATCCAGCCAGGGCATCCCAGAATCTCTCTCATCTATAATGGGCTACCAGCCACAGGGCCTGGAGACACTCCCTGGGATACCAGGGAAGGAAGATTTAACTCAGAGCAGATCCTAGGGTGTAAACTTGTAATAACATAATTAATCCTCTATCAAACCTTGGCTGTGGTGGAGAGCACAAGAGGTATGGACTCTGGGTGTTACTAAAGCAAATATTTATATAAAAATATATTATTTATCATTATACATTAATACATTAGTATATGAATATTTAAACATAAATAAGGACTTATCAGCTATGAAATGCACATAGTACTTTATCGGATATGTTCACCCATTTCAAAATTTAACTGCCCTAAACAGACAAGGTCCTTCTCCTAAGGCAAATGCTGCACTGATATTACAGTGCTCAGTCCCCAAAGGTAAGAAATCACATTTAAAAAGGGGGGAAAGAGAAATTTCTATCAAATTGGAGCTGACAGATGGTCTGGCAACTGTGAGAGTCTCACCAAGCCCTCTGTGCCTCTCGCCGACAAGAGCTCCCAAAGAATCAGCCCCAGTGTCACACCCAGCCCAGCTGACATTGCCACTGGCTCTGCGCTTCCTCGGTGTCACACTTTCACATTTTTCACAACTAAATGCAAACAAGGAGTCCTTGACAGCAGAGGGAGTCTGTAACTTCTCCTGCTGCCTTTCTCATCCCCCGGGCTTTTCTCACTGCTGGCCTTTCCCACCTCATTCTGAAGAGATTTATTTATTTATTTATTTATTTATTTATTTATTTATTTATTTATTCCAATGAGATACTTAAACATCTCCTGTCTGTTCACATTTCCAAATGTGATGCTCAGGGCCATTCTGTAATCCAAGGAAAATGATGACATGCTTGTAAGGCAGCAATGAAACCACTTGAGTATTAAATATTCTACGCCTAGCTGGCTCCACTGTGTGTATAATACATCAAAAAGTGACAAATTAGACAAACTTAGGAATGGCCTCTTCTATGTTTAGAAGCATTTGTGTTTAATTTGGCAGGCAGAAATATAACACCAGGAGTCAGTGAAAGCATTWTAAGTGCCTAATTAATTGCTTTTTAAAATACAGACTCCCTGTACTGAGGGGATASCCTCACCAGATCCATGTTAAGAAACAGAACTGCCTTAGCATTTGGGAGCAACCTATCATTCCAGAATCAATATTTACGGTAACAATTCACACCAGGGAGTCTGCTCTGCCTGCCTGGTCTGAGCAGATCAGATGGAATTCTTTCAAATAAAAATTCTGACCTTATGAAGAAAGGTTTTGTTTCTGAGCTGTTTCCTGATGTTGCTTATAAGGACAGTTCAGGATTCCTGCCCTATGCCAGGTGAGTTCTCAGGGTAAAGTTTGTGTCCCAGAAGGTACCAGGTGCTCCTCATTGGTACAAAGGCCCTGATGCAGGACAGGTAATGTTCTGCAGATAAGGTTCTCAGGGACTTCCAAACACGGCTCATTTTCTGTTGTTCTTCACAATTCCCCAACTCTCTCAATACTCCTAAGAATTTCTGAATGAATCATCTTTGTTTCACAGATGTGGACGTTAAAGCAAAGTGTTTAATTGRTTTAACAAAGTCCACATTAGATTATCCTCAGCTAAGATCCTAAACTAAAGCAGGGTCCATGGGAGGAAGATGCTGAAGTGCACTGAGATGCCAACCCTGCAGCACCTAGAAAATGATCCCTTTTCTGTGGACTGCTAGATTAATGGTTAATGATAAATTATCTAAAAAAATCATTTTAAAGCAAGCTTTTAGGAATCATTCAGGTGCCAGGGCAGTTTGTTAGCCCTTCACATGTGATAAGAGCTTTGGACAAGGTGAGAATTTCAGCATTACCCAGTTATGCCTGACACTGCAGACTCATAGAGAAGGGGGGCTCAGCCCAGTGTGTCACTGGTTTGTCTCCCACAGAGAGGGGCTGTGCCACAGGTGGTTTGTGAAGCACAGAGCATCCTTTGGGAGCTGTTACTCATCACCTTCTAGCACCTTGAGTGAACAAAGAGAGAGAAAGCTTCCTCAGGAGCCATCCTCTCTCTACTGACTGTGGGAACTTCAGGGCCATGATCTCCTCGTGTGGGCACCCAGTCACCAGCCCCACATGAGCCTGCACGGGCAGGGTTTGCAGGTTAATTCAGGTGGGGAGATGATTATCAAACAGCATCTCCTGAACAACCAGGAGAGCTCAGCCTTTCAGCTCAGCTCCTGCATTGCACTGACTGCACTGGCACAGCCAAAGTCACAAAGAACTCAGCAGCTCAGTGCCAGAATTGCTTTCTCTAAATAGATTTCTCTGAGAAAAAAAGCAACTGAGTGCTGCCATCTGCTCTGTAAATTAGGGTGGATTTACCTCTGGTTGATTCACTGTGACCATTCAGAAAGAGCAGCGTTTCAGACCCACAGTGAAATGCCAGCACTTGTGAGCAGTTGTGATTGCATTTAGTACTCCTGGAGCTGTACTGGCTGGCAACACTTGCTAGATTTCTCCACAAAAAGCTTTCCCAAACATGTAAATGAAGGATATACTCAATATCCTACTAATGGTATTATTCCAGATTATTTTCATTGAAATGAACCCTCAAAAYCCATCTCTCTGTACTCACCGAAATGGAGCAGCTGATGAACCCTCCTCTTTTATGCACTTTCATCAAGTCTTCAAACAGCTTCATCTGCTCAGAAATAACCTCACCATATTTGCCCTCTGCCAAATTAATGGATTCTGCCACTGCTCCAGTGAAATCCACCAGGGCTTCTGCAGCACAGCCTCCATCCAGGGCCTGGTAGGATCCAGCCAGCCTGGAGGCAACACAGAATGTTCTCAGTTTACAAGGGGCTGGAACAAGTGCTCTTATTTGGCTTGAATGTCTGTGTCTCACCAAGGGAAAAACAGAATAGAACAAAAAAACCCAGCAGATTGCAGACAAATCTTTCCTGGTTTCTAGGATCCTTAAGGATTTGAACTGCTGAAGGAGACTGTACTGCACTCCTTTATTATTTACATGCTTAACAGAGATTAAATAAGGAGTTTTCAGTCTTTTTTAAAGTTATTTACTAGCAGCAAACCTAAAACCTAAGTCTAATAGAACTGAAAGACAAAACAAAGAGAGGAAGGGACAACACTGAGGACTACAAGGACAATGAACAGCTCATACTTAGCATAAGCTTTCTCCAGCAGTGCACTCCAGAATTCATTCYTCACGTTGGAACGGCAGTAGATCAGCTCCCCATTCTGTGTTGGCAGCAGATCATCAACCACCACCTCTGTCCATTCTCCRAAGCGCCAGAAACGGAAACGGAAAATCCCAGCGTAGTTCCCGGGGCTCTTGGAGTCCCATTCCTGCTCGTTGGAGTCTGGAATCACCTRAGAAACCACAGAAGGGGAAGCTCAGAAGTGCCCTGTGCTGAGGTTTATTCCCAGGCCAGACTGCCCCGGAACGTGGGCTGTGCTGACATTCAGCTCCGGTGAAGCAGTGAAACAAGAGGGTGAATTTGGTACAAAATGAAATACAGTACCACTTCAAACAACCTTTGAGGAAAGCAAAGCTCATAATGATCTGCAGAGACAGATAAAAAGAACTCCCTCCATTGACTGGCTTTGTTATGTCTGTTCTTCGGGGCTCTGTATGGAGTGAGAAGGTCTCATAACATGAAAAATAAACTGTTAAAAAAAGGGAACATTTGAACCCATCAAAATTCACAACTTAAGAGTCCTAGAGAGAAAAGCACAGTAGGCAGGGAAGTAAGCAAGGTTAGCTTGGTTTATTGGCTCTATTTCATACACCACCCCCAGCCATCACCCACCTGCTGCCAGAGGCTCTTCCTCAGAGCCAGGCAGGAGCASGCAGCCACAAACCAGCAGTTCCCCAGCTTGCCCTGGTGGAAGTCGTGGGAGCTTATTCCATCCACAAGCAGGTGAGGCTCTTCACAGAGGTCCTGGCAAAGAAACCAGAGATTACTAGAGACTCCACTCCAGAAAAGGTCACAGCATCCTTCCAGTAAAGAGAGGCAGCAGGAATTGATGCTGCTGACACCCGAGCTCTGAGCTTCTCCTTTCTCCATTGCCATTGCCTTGGAAATTATCCTTCACTGACAGCCTGAGCTACTGCAAAGACCCTCAATCCCACAGCACCACAGGAGGAACAGAACACCTCCTTGTGAAGGACACCTTCCACTCTCTGGGTCTGGTAATTCTCATTTACCTGGCTCCTGTTAGAATGATTTGTTCCTCCTTTCCTCTTTCCATCTCTATTTACATGCAGATTCCCACCAGATTATGGCTGGATCTTCCTGGGATGTCTCCCTGCTCCTCCCTGGCATTACAGGGAGCACTCTCAGTACCCTGGACCATGGGAAWGCCACAGGGCTGTATTTTGCAGCASGGATGTGTTTGTTCCMAAGAAATCCTYAKCAGAGGTGTTCTGCTGGATGGAGAGGGAGCCTTCCACAAACACTGCAGCAAACAGGTGATGGGATGATCCCTAACTGGTGTGGAATCTGCTGGTTTCAACCCACGACCCTCTCCTGCCAGTCACTGCTCTTCCTGACTGGCTGAGAGGGTGGCAGAGCAGGCTGTGGTAGGAAATCCTGCTATTTCACAGTTTAATTTCAACACCCTGGAAATAATCCTATGTCCAAGCATTAGAAATGCAGAATAAGGAACTCAAAATGGCAGGAGACCCCGGATTTCTATTCAGGATAGATTTGCAGTCTATCCTGTTTGCCATCAGCAGCAGAGGAAGGAGCTGTGCTCCTCACCTATGGCTTTGCTCTGCCTTTGGAAACTGAAGATGATGATCCCAAAACAGTAGGACTGCAACCCAAGCCTGGCTACAGACCACTGATGTGACTCTGACTAATCAGTGCCAGATGAACTCGTTTCCAGAAAAAAAAGAACCATTTGAGGGATGGTTTTCCTGGGCTGGTTTAGCCAACAGCACCTGGARTCAGCTCACAGCATGGAAGTCATGGAGTAGCAGCCATTTTCCTTAAGAAAATTATGGTTTTGGCACGAGACTTTTCTCATTAAATAACTCTTGGCATTTTAAATGGCTTTTGGGAAACAAGCAACTGATCATTACATGACACTGCTCTTCTGTCAGGAGTTCTCACTTGTGTCTCCACTTAGAGCAAATTCAAAGCTTATTAAGAGACTTYAATGAAATCTGAACAAAATGGTGCCTACAAGGAAAACTGACCATGTCCAAGATGCTCATCAGCAYCAGGCACAGATTGATTCAGCCTCCCTGGATACTCTGATATGGAATGGCAGCAGAACCTTCACGCTGACACTTCATATTATGTAAATCCACCCAGTTGCAGGGGTTGACATCAGTTGCTGCTTGGCCTTCATGGGGATAGCACACATCCCACATCCATCCACTTGCGGTAGATTTACATTTCATATCCCATTTCCAGGCATCTCTAGCATTAATAATTTCCAGTTTGTTTTTCCTTTCAAAATGTTATTTTGTTAGAATAATAAACGAGGGATAAATGGAGCCATCGGGGTTAAAACTCGCCAAACTTTTCTGTCACTAGTGGAAGCCAAAACTTTAATTAGTTTTAGAAAGAAACTAAGCAYTGCCATGTATTACAAAGATCTTATTTGGTTTGTTTTGATAAAAATAACCACATTAAACTGTCATTTTTTAATTGAAGTGCGTCTCGCRTCTCACAAAGTCCTCAGAGGAAAAACAGAGCCGCGTGTGCCAACTGCCAGAATTTATGGATGAGATCAGCATTTGCTGACTATTGGGGCCCAAAGCAAACATGGAACAGCAGAGCTCACACACAGCACCTCCCTGTTTCCACTGGAGTCATCAAATTCTCCAGGATCCTGCTYGATAAAACCTTTCTGATTAAACCCCCTCAGAGCCCTGGGCTGAAGAACAGCCTAAAAAAATGTCACCAGTTCTGTTTCTCCTGTCATTAATTACAGCTATTTTAACAGCTTCTATGGTCACTGCGTGGCTCAGATGARATGCAATAGCACTGAGGCACAACCTAGAGCTTATTTCAGCTCTTTGCTCTTTTCTGGGCTTTTTGATTTTTACCATTGATGCAATATARCAAATTCTAAGGAATACTTTTAGCTATCTAAGCCACAATTCCCCCAACACAAGTTAGAAATGTGCTATTTCAATACATTATTCTGCTGTCCTTGTGAGGATCTTTAAGTGTTTTTAGTTCCCCAAGCATGTAGAAAAATAGAAATTAAAAAAAAAAATCACTTTTCCAAGAATGCTTCCAGCAGTGATAATTCAGGATAGTTTAGCACCAAGCCAGTTACTATCAGAGGAATTACAAGGAAGAGACACTGACGGGAGATGTGATCCAGGCACTTCTGGAGTCCTGATCCCTTCTCTCTCTTGCTACCAGAGCACCTCCTTTGGTAGGTGAGTTCCACCAGAAGCACCTCCTTTGCAAACACAGTGGTTTAACCCCAATCCCTTTCCTCAGGATCATCCCCCACATYTGTGCTGTGAGAGAGAAACATCTTCCCATTTCCAAGAAAAGGTTTACAGGCAGTTAGTGGATCTCATTACACATCATTAATGCCTGACAGGCACACTGTTTCTGATGCAGCACAATAAAATCAATTGTTGCAGTATTTCTGCCTGCAGGGAGCATTCCAGGAGCCAAGTGCAGAGCTCTCCCCAGCTCCCCCCTCACACATGTACACAATAAAATAAACATCTGCAGAGGTACATTGGGCTGGGCAGAGGCTGAAAGTGAGGTAAGAGGTTTCAGGGCCTCAGGATTCTGCTGAAAACGCTGATGCTCTCATTGCCCTGCCAACCTTCCATTTGCATGACACAAATCTGTTTGTGTCACCTCCTATCCTTGCAGTGTAGGCCCGGAATATGTGACACTCAGCCACTGATGCTGTGAGGAATAAGGTGGCTCACAAACCCCTTCTTTCTGATTTTCATGGTCCATCTCTTTGTAACAGAGGAACCTGGTCAACTGGGTTGCAGTCCTATCCCAGTCTGGATCCCACAGCGTTCCCATTTGTGCCTTCCTAGCTATCATCCAAGCAGTAATGAAAATTCTGATGAGTGCCAACCTAAGGGAGATTCCTGAAGAACTCCAAGCCCAGCTTGAGAGTACTCCAAGTAATTTAATTCCCCAGCTATGCATCCCCAGCACAGAAGTTTTGCAAAACAATGGGAGCCATGGGAGACAACAGACGCCCAATTTCACTGGAGCTATGAAATTGTTTGTGTGTTGTTCTGTCATGATTCCCTAAAATAAAAAAAAAAAAAATTAAAAATGGATGGGTTTTATTTGAGATCAGCTKCACCACAGAAAGTACAGCAGAGAACTGATTGTGCATTGATATATACATTCACCTCAGGYTGCTGTGGCTCCTTTGACTCTTAGAGTAATTTAGGCAAAGGAGAAAATCCCCCTTAGCTCTCAACATGCATCTCTTGGTGYAAGTATTACCAACATCCATGAACTAAAAATTATGCAGTATTGGTTATAAATAGGGAGAAAGAYATTCAGAGGGTTAATTAATGAGCTGTGCCTTCACAGGCATTAGCTGAAACTGCACGGTAAAAAACATTCACTGTAAAATGTAAAAGAGAGATCTCAGATTTCCAAGAAAAGGGAAAGATGATTTTTTACCAGACTAGGATCTGTCAGCTGTCTCAGGCAGAAAAACAGAGATTCAGGGAAAGTGAAGAAGAAAGAAAAGCAGTAATTATTTGCAACTAAGATTTTTAAAGGATTCTGTAGCATTTAGAGCTTACTTTCTCCAGCACCCTATAAAGACCCAGCCCTAGCAGGAGAAATAATCCACCTTTGCTTGCRCATGAGACCTACAGAGACAGGCCCTACCAGACTGATCTACTTAAGCCCAGTACACCATTCCCTTAAATTTTTTTAGAAGTAGTTTAAGTTCTGTCAGAGCTGAGAGTTGTTTCCATTTTCTTCCCTTCTCCCACTCTCAYATCATCGTGAGTCAACTCCTACAGAGACAGTGGAGAGAATAATGGGAAAAGGCAATTCTTGCTGAACATGGGTGCAAAAATTCAGCTTTGGCTGCAGCTGACACTGAACCAACCTCGTGTAAAGGAAGGCAGCAAAGACAGCACGCCATGGCTGTGGAGCTGAAGAGGTAGACAGGATTATCTATCCCATAATAAACCCCAGCTGTGCTGGCATGGCCACAGAAACCCTCCCCAGACCAGGCTGGGTGACAAGGCATTTGCAATTCCCCCCAAGAAGCAAAATGACCAAACCCAACTGTGCTGGATACTCCAGTGCATGCAAAAAGTCTTTTATAGCCTTGTTATGGCTGAAAAAAAATCTGCCTGTGGAGTGAAAAAAGAGAGGGGGACAGTTCCCAGAGAAACCTCCATCCAAAGAAACCCTTGCTGAGATCAGGAAGGGACTTTGATCAGTGCTGTTACACCTTGTAAATGCACAAAAGACAGGTTCAGCCTCAGTTTCTGTGGTTACACCCCAAACTCAGGGGGTGGAATTCCTCTGTAAACTTCATGCCCATCACCCAGCAGCATCAGTTCCTGACTGCAAGATAATGCCCAAATCTGCTGAAAGAGAAACTGAGCTGCACATGAGCAAGGGGAAGAGCTCCAACCTTGTGTAAAAGAAAATTCAGCTGTTTGGGGATTGAGAAATGCTTCTCCCCCCTCCTCCCTCTCCACTAAATCCTGTTACAAAACCTAATGCATCACAGACATTTTTATAGTGTTCTTTTTTTCCATTTTCAGTTTGGTGACTCAGTGCATGGCTTTCAGCCTTGTCCTGCCTATGGGACTTGTGCATTTGGGGTGGATCTGAATCAATGTTTTGGAATAAAAAAAAAAAATGGAATTGGGCAACATGGTGTGTATCTTGGCTGACTGTAGGTTTCACCTGACCCCTGGAGCACTCCAGCTGCTCTCTCCAGAATGCTGACAGGG